GCTGACCCAAGCCAGGATGCTGGTGGCCTTCTTGGCCACCTGGGCACATGCTGTCTCATCTCCAGCCACCAACCCCCCAGGTCCTTTCCCTGGGGCACTTTCCAGCTCCTCTGCCCCAGCCTGGAGCATTTCTCCATGCTGGATCCTGACGCCATGCCAGGAAGCTCTGGGAACCGTGGCCAGAGGACGGAGCCTGTGCCAGGATCCCCCCAGCACCCTGGGACCTCCCAGGGGGTGCAGATCCCTCCTGCCCAGCCCTCCTCACACAAACGAAGCCGCTAACAAGTCTGGGCCAAAACCAGATCGATGGAGCAACAAACCATTACTCACCACTCCTCCCTGGCACCCACTTGGTGGTGGCCCCATGCCAGGACAGGAGCCTGGGGTGGCCTCGTGCCCCGGGTGCAAGAGCCTCACAGAGCCCAAGACCTTCCTGGGTCCACAGTTTGGGAGGCAGGAGACCAAGCTAGCCCCACATTATGGGTGCAGGAACCTGAGGTGGCCTCATGCTCTGGGTGCAGGAGTCCTGCATAAGTCCCAACTTATGGGTGTGGGAGCCCCACAGAGCCTGAGACATTCAGTGTCCGCGCCGTGGGTGCAGGAGCTCCACACAGCCCCACCTGATCGCTGCAGGAGGTCCAAGAGCCCCACCTAATGGGTGCAGTAGCTTGGGGTGACATCCCTTGGTGGGTGCACCAATCCTGCTCAGCCCCAGGGGTGCAGGAGCACATAGGATCAGAGACTGTCTGGGCGAGAAGGGACCTCCAAAGGCCATCTAGCCATAAGCAGGGACATCTCCAACTAGATCCCGACGGGCAGCTCTGCCCTAAGGCTCCCGGATCTGGAGGGTGGGAAGGAGGAAGCGTGGAACCTTCCCTCCCCGGCCAGCCCTTCCTGGTGTCACCGCGGGGCAGGAAGCCACCGAGCCACCGCTGGCCTCCAACCCAGCGGGGCCACCAGCGCCGTGGGCCCTCACGCTCCGATCCTTCCCTCCCACCCCCAAGCAGGGGCCTTAATGAGCTCGTTAGCAGGTGGTGGCCTAACGAGCACTTGATGCGGTGGCCAAGGATCCAGCAGGATCCAGTGGATCTCCAGGCAGGATCAGCAAGGATTTGATTCCTGGGGAGGGTTTTGGTGGTTCTCCCGCTAAGGAGACCAGCAGGCAGGGCTAATTAGCCCAGGCCTCATTAGGAGGGACCCGTGGGGGTAAGGGAGCCGCCAGCCACCACCCCCACACTCCAGTGGGCCTCCACCACGGTGGCCCGTGGTGGCCCATGGAGGGCA